GGCTCCCAATCTTAAGATGGAATTAGGCTGGGTTCATCAGGAATGTGGTGTGGAGTGAGGCTGCTGCAGGGGGTGGTGTGTAGCACCAAACCATTCACTTTGAGGGATTGTACGGGCCTGGGCAATGGACACAGAGCAGTGATCACAGTTAACAACAATAATAAAAGCAAATATCTACCATAAGAACCCAGGAATTTCATATAACTGGGAAGTAGGGGGGAAGGCTCAGAATGACCCAAGTTGAATTTCTTGTCATCTTAGCAAAAAGGTGATCAGAATAGATTAAATTTAATTCAGAGAAGGCAATAGGCATTTCTTGCATGTGACCATTGTACTTGCAAATTCATGCTTGTCACTTATGAAAGGGTGGAATCAATGGGTGAGGATGAGTTCCCTTTTGAGCTCTGAGATCACTAATTCAAAATGAAATTATTCATCCTGTGTGTGATTTTTCTCTGGCAACCTTCAGCAGCTCAGGTACAGGCATGAAACCTCATTTCAGACTGTAGTGCTCAGCCGGGTTGTGGTTTTCCCAGAAATATTCTGGAGACTGAGGCAGACAAGAGAATGATTGTAATGATGAGCTATGGGCTCTAAATTGGACCATGAGAGAAATGAAGAATGGACAAAGAGAAATTGTGGGATTAGCAGATCAGCAGTCTTAATGAGATTGAAGAATTGGAGGAAATAGGGTCTTAACACAAGGAACCCACAGGCTAAATGGTGGTGAATGGAGAGTGGGGTATCACCTTTTTACATGTTAAAGATGGAGTTCTTTGGGGGTATTATTAAAATGTTAAGGGTGTAACTTAGATGAGGAAAAGATTGCTGGATATGAGACGGTAGAAAAATTGAGACACCAAGATAGTAAATAATAATCAGGCTGGTCATTAACATGAATTTTTTTAGAATAACAATATTTTATTTTTTTCCAATCTTTATTTGTGCATTATAGTTGTACATATAGTGGGACTCCATGTTACATATTTGCACATGTACATAGTATGACAATATAATTCAATATAATTTGGGCAATATTCCCCCCCCATATTTCTCCTTTTTCTCTCCTCCTCCTTCCCCACTTCCTTTTCTCTACTAATCTTTTGATTTCCATTAGATCCTCCTCACCCCACATTTCTTTTCCTATTTCCTCTTTAGCTTTCACATATGAGAGAAAACAAATGGTCCTTGACTTTATGAGTTTGGCTTTTTTTGCTTAACATGATGTTCTCATGTTCCATTTATTTTCCTGAAGATGACATTTAATTCTTCTTTATGGCTGAACAGAGCTCCATTGGGTGTATATGTTTATTCATTCATCCATTGATGGATACCTAGGCTGCTTCTAGAGTTTGGCTATTGTAAATTGTGCTGCTATAAACATGGATATGCACATCTCACTATAGTATGCCAACTTTAATTCTTTAGGATAAACACCAATGATTGGGATAGCTGGGTCATATGGTGGTTATATTCCTAATCTTTTAAGGAAGCTCTATACTGATTTCTATAGTGGTTGTATTAATTTACAGTCCCATCAACAGTGTTTCTTTTTCTCCACACCTTCTCCAGCATTTATTATCATATGTATTTTTGATGGTTGCCATTCTAACTGGACTGAGATAAAATCTCAGTGTGGTTTTTATTTGCATTCCCCTAATTGTTAATACATCATTAACAATGTTCAACATCTGAATATATTTTCATATATTTGTTGAAAAATGCCTGATTAGTTCATTAGCCCATTTAGTAATAGTTTTTTTTGAATTCTTGCTATAGTCTGTATATTAATCCTCTGTCAGAATAATAACTAGCAAAGATTTTTTTCCCATTCTGTAGATTTTCTCTTCACGTTTTTGTTTCCTTCGATGAGAAGAAGGAAGCTTTTAAATTAATGCTATCCCATTTATTAATTCTTGGTATTATTTTCTGAATATTTGAGGTCTGATCGAGAAAGTTTTTGCATGCACCTATACATTAATATGGGTAATTGGATTCACTATGGAGTTGAAGGATAGTACCTGGAGTTGAAAGGGGAAGGGAAAAAATTATATTGACTGGAAAATCAGAAGATGACAGCAATTAAGATGGGCGGGGTAGAATATCTGAATAGCAAGAACTTTCAAGGAACAAGAACTTTCCAGGAGGAAGAGGGAACTCCAATAGGAAGTTCAAGGAACTTTAGGAACTTTAGGAATATTATTACTGTATTCTTCTGACGGACATCCTTCCAATGGCTCAGTGAACCACACCAAATCAACACAAGCGAAGCCTTTCGATTGGGAATGTTTTATTACAGATCTTTCCACCAGGGGGCGATATCAACACAGGAAAGTCGACCTCCAAAGTCGTTTTTCCAGGCCAGGAAAATATGTCTCAGCCTGACCTCTGAGGACCTCTAGGGCTCTTTTGAGGTATTGCAATGAAGCTCAGCGATCACTTGGCAAAGCCATACTTGAAGAGATTTTTCAGTGTATATAAATATTAACAACAAAAATTCAAATCCCTAAATTCCTTTAAAGAAAACTGAGTTAATGTAAATTTTGTTTATCATGTATTACTGCTACAGAAGAAGACTGAAAGTACAGCGACTATCATGTGAGATTTGGTGACATTTTCTTCAATGTAAAAAGATTCCTCTTAACTGCATGTTTTGAGAGTTGATTGGTCACACCCATCCTTAACATTTTTCTTCCTGAATGTTTTTGGTAAGCATGACACAGTTGGAAAAATTTACTAGGCCAGAGTCAGAGTTGGAGTACTATCTCTATTATCAAAATTGGAGCATTTACTATGTACCAGAAACTGTTCTAAACATTGCACAAAAGTCTACTCATTTATTCCTCTTGTAGTCTTATGAGGTTGGAACTATCATTAGCTACACTTGACAGACAAATAAGCCAAAGAGAGGTCACCTTCCAAGGGCCACATAACTAATAAATGCTAGTGGTGGTGCTGAGGTGGACTTGAATTTGATCTTTTCCCCAAACGGAATAGTCCAGGTTATGCTCTTTGGACAAACATCCCTGATCTCAGCAGCTTAACTCATCAGTTGCTATCTGGGCTATGTGGGTTGACAGCAGGGCTTAGCTTATCTTGCTAACTCAAGAACCCAGGCAGACATAAGATTCACGTTGACACGTGTGTTCATCATCATTGATTACCAATCACCCCCAAGGCAAGGAGTATGCGACCCTAAATGTGTTGGAAGTGCTCCAGGTTTTGAATCCAAGTCTTCTGCTTGGAAATGATGCATGTCACTTCTCACATTTCACTGGCTGAAAATAAGTTGCATGCCACTCCCAACTTCAAAAGGGCAAGAAAATGCACTTCTCTCATGAGCCTAGAAGCAGGTAAACCAGACTGTTTGGCATTAATGATTAACACAAACACTTTGAGCCCCTGGGCAGGTCATGTTCTCTCAGCCTCAATTTCCCTATCCACAAAACAATTTTATAAGGCTCATTTGCTGCAAGGATCAAATAGAGAATATTTGTTATGGTTACTATGACTGCATCAAGGAAAGCTTCCATCAACTTTGATAGTCCTTCTTATAGGGCTGTGGAATGGCCTTTGTTCAGATAAAGATACATGCCAACTTTTTCTTTTTCTTTTCATTTTTTTTTTTTTGGATTCACACACCTGAGATTTTGAAGAAATCTAGTTTTCACTTCAATCTACAACATTTCATAGTTATAGTCCTAGCCCTTGCTAGAAAGCTCAATCTGGAACTACCAGCTGTCTAGTTCCTGTTGAAAGCTTGAGACTACATTAGCTTCAGAGAATGTGAGGATCTCCTTCCTCCAGGTTCTCCAAGCCCTCTTTTTGAATCGTCAGGGCAGCTGGACTATTCACTTGGCTCCTCATAGTTTTACTCCAGACATTCCCCAGGATGGATGTCTGCTGTGACTCAGAGATGAGCCAAGCAGTAGAAATTCCTTTGCCAACCACCAGCACTGAAAGTAGTACAAAAAACACCCTTAAATAAGAACATTTTCCAAACTTTCATGAAACCAGTAGTGACCATATAGCCAATAAACCTCCACAGGGCTTTGTTGGATGCCCTAAAGGTCATTTGGCTCTTCCTCACTCCTCTGACGGACTAGGCTGTGAACTCTGTGAGGACAGGAACTGTATTCTCACATGGGTTTCATCGTGTCTGGTACACAGCAAGTACTCGATAAACAATTCCGAGGAGTATTTATATAAATTGGTACATGATGACTTCCTTGTGGAATTGTGTCTGTGGACATGTAATTAGGCTAGTTGAACTTTTGGCCCTGAAAGACAGCGGAGCTAAAATAAGGCCAAACCCGGGGTGCAGGGAGTAGGCAGGGGTGGAAAAGGAGGACATTTCAGGCAGACAGAACAGATGTCGAGGCAGGAAGGCACAGCCAGCGCAACACTTTGTCTGGAAGTGAAATATATGCGAGGGAAGGCTGGGGTCTGTTATCGGTAGAGGTCTATAGTCGAAGTCTAGAAGGAAGAAGTAGCTCTGAATTGATAGGGAATAAAGAATTGATAGGCGACAACGAGATGAAGCATAAAAGCGGAGATGGCGTATCAAATTTTACAGCCAAGAGCGCTAACGCATGGTTAAGGAAATGTATTGTGTTCCCAACGCTTCCTGTTATTTACAGGAACGCCCGTTGCAGAGATGAGTAAACGAAAGGCTCACTTCTCAGTTCGCCACCGCCAGAAAAATAGGCGGAGCGTCCCCTAGCCCCGTCACGTGGCCAGAAGCGCCTTGGCACGTGACCTACAACGCGCTAGACCAATCAGTTTCTGCAGGGGTGGAGACACCGACTTTGAGGGGCGGGAATATCAGACGAAGCCTCTTTCTCTCGCGAGCTTTTCAATTATTCCTGCTCAGCCGCCCACGGCCCGGAGCGCAGGTCTCGCGAGGCTTGGGCGCTGCGGCGGTAGGAGGAGGACGGGGAAGGACGGAGCGGAGCCGCGGCTTCCTCCCTCGCTTACTCCCTCGCGCTCTCGCCCGCCCCCTCCCTCCCTCCCCTCCCTCCCCCTGCCCTGGCTCCGGCCCCGGCCCATTAGGCGTTCGGTCTTCTGCTAGGGAGGATGTCGGGCCCGTCGCTCCCCAGCGCCCTGGCCCTCTCGTTGTTGCTGGTCTCTGGCTCCCTGCTCTCAGGGCCGGTCGCCGCTCAGAACGGTAAGCAGGGCGCCGGGGGCGGGCCGGGCGGGGGCTGTGGGATGTCTGCTATCGAAGGAGTTGGCCCGGGCCTGAAGGGGTGCCGGAGCCAGGGGAAGGGGGCCGGGCGGGAGTCTGAGGGGCTGCGGGTCTGAGGAGAAGATGGTGGTCAGGGGTTTGAAGAGGTGCGGGTGTAAGGTCTTCCGGAGACCGCCTGTTGGAGAGGTGGGGACGTCCGATGTGAGCCCTACGTGTTGGCGACTTTGGGGCTCCACCTCTCTTGTCCCTCCGGGTCGGCGAGGGGACACCGAGGAAGCCAACATGAGGAGTTGGAGTAGCGGGGGCGGATGAGGAGGGGGCGCATTTCTTAAAGACGGTGACAGGAGACAGGCGTTTGTGTTCTTGGAGGTGGAGGGATGGTGTCGGTCGGCTCCCCGAGAGAACGGGATTCCCGGGCACTGGGATCGACTAGAATTCTGTTTGGGCCCCGTAAAATTGGTGACATTTTTAAAAATAAGGGGAAAATGAGGAAGGTCATGAAGAATATTGAGTGAATTGAGTACTAGAACCCTAAGGAGGGGGTGTAGAATCGGAGAACCTTGGATGTGGGGGTGGGGGGAAGATAAAGGAGTGGGTTGACTGCAGTAGGGGACCTTGTACGAGAAGCAGCAGTGTTTCTCCAAAGGAGCGGAGGGAAGAGGGTTGGGTTTGCTAAAGAGGGTGGAGTGCGGGGCATTCTAGTTTAGTGGTTGGGAGTGCAAAAAGGAGTTTCTAAATAAGGAGATGAAAATGAACGGGAGGATGGGGAGAAAGAGGTGAAACTGAGGTAGGGGAAATATTAGAAAAGTAAGGGTGTCTGGGTATAGAGACGAGGGTATGAGGAAACTAGAAATCATGGAAGGGAATAAAATGCAGGAGGATATGTTAAGGAAGGGAGGGCATTCAATGAGTTGTGGCAGGCGACTGGTATTGGATGGGCCTTTGGAAAGGCAGGGACACAGCTGCGACTGTGCTGTGGTGGGATGAAGGGTAGTTGCTGCCCAGAGGGATGTGGAGGAAGTAGGCTTTTCAGATCTAAAAGTTTCAGGACCGAAGAGTTTCAATATCTGAAAAGATGTTATTTGCGAGGAATATAAAAGTAGCCTCTGGGTAATGCAGGGTACAGTGGAAATAAGAGAACTTGGTTTTGAACTGGTGTTCTTTAGAGAAGATGGAGAAATGGTTGGGAATCATAGGCATGGGGGCGTCTAGGCAAAATAGATTCCGGTTGAAGGCATGTGTTACCAGTTCAACTGCTGAATTGATCTTTCAGAAGCAAGACTAGGAGTGTGAGTCTCTTTCTGCTGTTGTGGAAACAGATATTTAGAGGTTTAAAGTTTTTTATATGAAAAAAGTCAGTGCTGGAGAATGAAATATAAATTATTATTTTTTTTTACTGATCTCAGTGTTTATTGTTTTGATAGAGCAATTCAAATTACTCTTGTAAAAAGGACTCAAATTTAAATGACTTCAGTTTAAAAAAAAATCAGAAACCAGGCTTACATGTTGAATATTAAAACGAAAATATATCACAGGATTGAAAAAACATCATTGGTTAAATAAAAGTATTGTACCAAATTGTATTTTTCAAATTTTATATAGGCTTTATGGTTTTGGATAATCACTGTGAGGGGCAGAGGGAGTTAGGAAAGACATTTTTCTTTCTCTTGTGTTTGAATATGCTAAGTACAATGGGTGTTTTTTCCTGTTTTCCTCCAAGTGTGAAGCCACTGTGGAAGACACAGTAGAGTTAATCTGATTTGTCTTATCAGGTTTTCGTCTATGCTTACAGTGGGAGTTAAACCTGATTTTGATTTTGGCTATTCAATTTATGGAAATAGCTTGGTTTGTTTGTACAGTAGGTGAGATTCTCCATCTTATGTGTTTAATCTCAGCTGGCATAGCTCTTTTTGATGATTTATGGTGAAATTGTAGTTTCTTAGCAACTAAAGCAAGGTTTTTGGATGGGTCTTCAAAGACATCTGGCTGCTGTCAGTGATGTGTGTTCTAAATACAGTATAGTACAGCCTTTCTCTTGAAATGAGCTTGAATTCAATCACATGACATTACAGAAAAATGAAGATCATCGAGTAGTTGACCCAAATGAATGTACAAATTGAATTCAAGGAAGAAATACCTGTTTTTTGAATTTGAGTTTATAAAGATAAGGATGCCATTTTATAGCATTCTATAACATACCTTATGATAATATACAACTTAAAATTAGTAAGATAGTCCTGCAGTGGTCTGACTTCATGTCATTAAGTTGTTTTTTTCTTACAGTGTTTCAGAAAGGGATATTCTGTATGATGTGAAAATGTTAGATTATTTATGAAAAGGATGTTTCAAAAAAAGTATTTCTGGATTCAGAATCTGGTAGTTTATGTTGAGAATAAATGTTTTTCAAAAGTCCCCTGTTTTCACTATTCTTAAAATCAAGAGTTTGGATTAGATGACCCCCAAGATCTCTTCAGCTCCAAAATGAGTATGTGACCCATTACCATATGGATTCAGGGCTTTCATTCAGATGGATTTTGTTTCCTATCCAAACATGTAGACTTGAAAAAACAGTTTCAAGTAAAATCCTTATTTATTGATTTTTGTATGTATCCTCAAAGATGTGGTTCATTTTAAGGAAGAAACATAAGACATTTGAAAGCTTTACTTAAAATTGAGTGAGTATAAACCAGCCTGTATAATGTGATCAAGAGCACAGGCTTTGGACTCCCATAGAACTGGGTTTGAGTTCTACTTTTTGTAGCTGAGTGACCTTGAATAAGGCAGGCCTCAGTTTCATTTCTGAAATGGGGATTACAATCTCCTTGGGAGAATGTGAAGATTAAATGAGATAATGGAGACTTAGTTTCAATGCCTGGCATATTGGATCACTAAATGTTAACTATTATTATTATTACTTTAAAAATAACATTATTCTTTATTTTTCTTCATGTGTATGTATATTCTGAACACTTGTTAGTGCTTCTGTCATCTTGAATAAAAGTAAATGGGTCTTTGAAGACCCCAAACAGAGATTTGTGCTTTTGCTATATATACAACATACATATATGTATATGTATGTATATATATATATATATATATATATATAATTATTATTTTTTTAAAGTATCCACTTTAATTTGCACATGGTTGAGTTGGTGGGAGACATATTTAATGTTCCCTAGAAACCTGCTGGCTTTTTGTTTTAAGACAAATGACATGCTAAACATATAGCAGATTTTAATATAATTAATCCAAATAAGATTTGACCAGAAGTTTGCCATGAACTAAAGACTTTCCTCAGGAGATCATATTGCTTTCAGTCTCTCAAGCAATTGACTAAAAATATCACAATTGATATCAGTGGAGCACCCAGGCATGAGAAATTGATCAGGAGTCTGGGAGGAAAGGCCATGTTTCTACATTCAGGATCTTTTTATGGGTTTGTTTTATAAGGTGGCTGTGGCCAAATTGGAGAGGGGAGGGGGGGAATGTAGAACTTAAATCTGTGAATATACCAAGGTTTTTAAAAACAATATAAGGGGAAAAATAACCCACTTAAAATATAATCGTGCTCCAGAGTGAATTTATTTGACACAGATTAAGATTGAAGTTCATTAGAGGTCTGATTTTGTACTAGTTATTCAGATCCTCATGAAAAAGTAGACTTTTTTAAGAAAAGCCTTTTCTTTTTCTTATCTATACCCTTCTGATGTAAAACATATTCTCTTGTGGAATATACCTTTAAACACTAATAAAAGGCAACGTGTTATTGTACTGCCTTTTTAAAAATGTTTTTGTTAGCACATTATATTATATAATATCTTTATTTTTTAAATAAAAAGTACTTAATTAGGCCTTCAGAGATAACCACATGTGTCTAAAAATGTGCTCTGTTTGGACCTCGTTTTTTTATTTAATTAATTTGAGGTAACTTTTTGAAAGTAAGGTGTTTTATATGTGAAATTTGAAACTTTGCTCCATCAGTGTAAAGGTTTTTTTGTTTGTTTTGTTTTTAAATATCAGACAATATGGGGGGGTGATAAGGTGTTAGCATCTATAAAATGAAATGTGGAGAGAAACAACCAAGGTTTGTTGAATCATATAGGAGATGTTCAATAAAAGTTTGAATAAAATTATGCTGTTTTGGAAAAAGTGAGATTTGTGAACAAATTTCTGATGCATTTTATTTAGTTTATTGTTACAGTGAGCCCAATCTAGACAGGATCAGGCATAGAGAATGAAGTTGTAGGAGAAAGGAAAAGACAGAAGAAAGACTTCAGTAGAATACCAGGAAAAAGCAGGATATAAGATTGGGGGATGAATCTTCATTTAAGGAGCATCTGGAAAGATAAAAGCTGTCAGAATAAGTCTAGAACAGAGGACTTTAAAGTAAATTGACACAGTGAAATTAGAACAATGGTGCAGAATTACCTCACCTAACTGGCTTGGTTTTTAGTATGCCTCATAAACAAAGCATTTTATATAATTAAAAAGTGACACTGATAATATGGAGTTTAATTTAAGAAACTTAGATAATGCATTTTTAAACTTGTTTGTGAAGTTTTGGTGGATTTTTCTTCAATTAATACTTTTAGATGCTAAGAATTAGCTTTGGGAATAAATAAAATTAATTGAATACAAACTATTTTATAGGCTTATATACATAAAGAAACTCACTGAATGTAAAAGTGATACCCTATAAAAAACTTTATCTCAGTGATATTGATTACTAAATTTATAAAAGAGTGAGTACACAAGTAAAATGTATCTGTTTTTCTAGAATTCATTCAGCTTAGGAGCAGGAGTCAAAATTTGTACCTAATTTCAACTTAGTGTTTTATCTAACATTGAAAGTAGGCCTAACTTTTTTGTTTGTTTTTTTGTGTGTATAAAGACAAATGCTTATCAATTAAACCTAATTAACTTGAGGTTATTTGACCTGATCACTTAGAACCTTTTAAATTAGTCTATCTGAATGGCAA